CGGGGCGAGGCAAGGCGGGCAAGACGCGACGCGTCCCGGCCCGGGGGTCCCGCAGGCCCTCCCGATAACCTTCACAAAAACAATGCTGCGAACAGGGCGCCCGCCGTGCCCGGCCCGTCCGGCAGGCAGGGGGAGCAGCAGAAACAGGCCGCCCGACAGGCGAGCAGTCAGGCCACACCGCCGATCGCTGGTCACTGGCCCTTCCCTGAGACCGGCCAGGACCAGGACCTCGTCGGCCCGGCCGGGGCACCCGCCAGCAATCACGCACGCACACGCGCGCGCGCCGCGGGAGGGGCTCGGTGCCGGGCGGACAGGTCGGGTCGGGCCGCGGTCTCGTCTTGCCGAGCTGTCTTCTTCTGCTGCCGGCTGCTGCCGGGCCTTGGCTTGGCCGTGCTCCTCCGCTCTTCCCAAACTTATTATTTACCAACACACTTGCCGCGGCTGTGGCGCGCGCACACGCGCCTTGACACTAGCGCTCGCGCACTGTCGCGGACTCTATCGCGCACGTCCTGCGATTGTTTCTCTCGCCGCCGATATCTTTGGAGCACCACGACCGGCGCTCGTCGCGCACCCCGCGCAACACTCGCACGCGCGTCGCGCACGCCCACGACACGACACGCAGCGGCCGCACGTCACGGCATCTCCAGCCCCGGCGCACGACGCGGACTTGTTGTGGCACGGCACTTCACTTGCGAACACAAACACGGGCGGGCCCGCCTCGCATGGCGAGCGCAGCGCGAGCGCACTTGTTCGTCAGACAGGTCGTCTGGCTTGGGTGTGTTGCAGCGGCAGCCCAGCGGAGCGGCCGGCTAAAGACTAGCGCTGGCTGGCGGCGGAGCGGGGCTCGGGGGAAAAGGGGGGCCCGTCGCGCGGCTCGGCTCGGCTCGCTGGTACAGCGCGTCCGCGGTCGGACTACACCCTGGGACTCGCGGCGGCGGGGCTCGGCGCGGTGGGGCCGAGCGCAGGCTGGCGATCCTGACCGGCGTCCCTCGGGCACTCGCGTCCTCGCCCGTCGATCGCGGGTCAAACCCGGGACAGGGACGCGCTGGAGGTCGCGGATCCGGGGACACGGTGCCGCGAACGCACTACCGCGGCTGCCGCGTGGCTGGCCGCTGACTGCGGCGCTCTCTCGCGGCGAGCGGCGAGGCTGCTCGGCTGGGCCGGGCAGGCGATGCCGGCAACAGGCGGGGCAGCACCCAATGACCTTGAAGAATGATGCACGTGTGGGATATAAATAAACTTTCCTTCAAATGCTGCCGAGAGCGTTAGGAGCGCGGCGAGGACCGCTGGGGGGGTGCGGGGATGGGGGGGATCGTGAATGAAGTTAATCATCGCACAGTGAACTGACACTGCAGCGCTGTAACGGCTGCAGGCAGGCGGCTAGGCGGCACCGCGGGCCGTAGCCCGCGGCCTGCCCCGCGAAGCCTCGCGCGGCCGCGGGCCTCACTCGGGCACCTGGTCAGAGCCAACTCCCTCTCCTTGCAGGCCGCCCCGGCTCTCGTAGCCACTAGCGCCGGGCGCCCCCCCCCCCTTCCCCACCCTTTCCCTCGAGGCCCTGCGCCCAATTGCCCTTGACACACTGCTAGGACCTCCTCGTCCTTCAGGAAGCCTACAGGTATACTTGAGTGCTCGACCCTGGCCGGGACAAGCCACGCTCGAGTCCCTCGAGTCCTTAGGTCCTGAAGCGCATTGCAGGCATCTCATCGTAGGCAGGCGCGGTTGGAAAGGGGAGGGGGGGAGGGGTCACCCCCGTCCCCGTCGTCTGTAGCGGTGCCGCCTGAAGGATAGGCAAAGAGGCAACTCACTGTAAGTAGGCAACCCACTGTGCATAGCTCCGCTCGATCGACCGGACTTTTAGACGGCGCCTGCACCCATTGGCAATGACAGTGCTTTGTAGAAGTTCAATGACGTGTCTACTGTACACTCCTAGGTCACCTATCTCCGTCAAAGCAATAAGATCATTCCTCATGTGGTAATTTAATTTGACTTTAATACAGATAGTCTACAGTTACAAAATAAAATTGTTTGAAGAGCACAGCCAACTAATTGTGACAAAGCACAATAAAATGCAAATACTGTATTACCTAAAGCACATGTGGGTGGAAAAGTAAAGTCCCTGAGAAACTTTAACATCTGATATTTTCTGTTTATACATTCTCACTGAAGGTAAAAATAAATTTTTGACCAGTAAAGCCTTTCATATCTAGAGTTTTCTTCAGAGGAATGTCATAGTCTTTGAAGGGCAGTAGTTTGTGGGTAGGAGCCTTGACAGCACCACTTAACATTAAGTCAATAATTTCTTGGAACATCTTCTGTCGCTCAGAGCTAGTTGCATTCTCTTTACTCCACCGAGACATCCAAAATCCACGAAGTTGAACGTCTTTGAAGATCAAAGCTGATGTGGGGGCTGTCACAGGATGACGTGACATACCACCATAGGTGACATGAACTCCCTTGGTCTGCAGTTTGCGTAAAATTTCCATTCCACTTTGACCACCAACACAATTCAAAGCCAATTTAGGAGCTTTCAATCCACCAGACTTGAAAAGACTTGTTGATCTAGAAAAGGCGAAACAGACCAATAACATTAAGTATTTTGTTTGAATTAATAACAGTCATTTATGAATGTTCAAATTAGGTACCTTAATTCCTCTTCAGTAAGAACATGAGAAGCTCCAAGTTTCAAAAGAGAATCTTTAAGATCATTAATGTTTGGTCGATCCCTCACAACATTCACAGATGTCAGATTCCAAGCATTGCAGAGTTGTATGACATACTGGCCACAGGCACTGTTAGCCCCATTCTGAATAACAACATCTCCAGGGTTTAAGGACACAAAGTCCTTCAACATTCGATAAGCTGTTGGTGGATTAGTTAAGAGAGTTGCAGCTTCAGCAATTCCTAGTTTACTGGAGACCTGAATGGAATTTTGACAGAGAAACATTTTAAATGAAATCTTTCAGAAGAAGCAATTACCAATCAGCTTTAGAACACATTACCTACCTTCATCCATTGACTGGCATCAAATAAACCATGTGTTCTCCATGTTCCCAATCCAACCTCAAGCGGTACAACTGTATCACCAACAGACACGTTCTTCACATCACTGCCAATGGACAAAACTCTACCTACACCTTCATTTCCAGGAACTGAGGGAAGTGGAGGTTTGATCGGATACACGCCTTGAACGGTGTTGATGTCAGCAGGATTAATAGGGGCACCGAGCATCTCCAATACAATCTTGGAAAGAGCAAAACAAAGAAAGTTAAAAACTGTCCAAATAAGCGACAAAAATGTAGAGATACATAGCATAACCTTAAAACACCATACAAATAGTCTAGAAGAATGATATCTCACCTGATTACTTTGAGGAGTCGAAATTTTTTCCTCGACAAGTTTAACAACTTGAGAAGGCTCTCCATAATCACAATAAAGTAATTTTCTGGCATGTATGGTGTGCATTCGTCGAACAGCTGACAGGGACCGGTGGCAGTTCATTTTGGTGTTTAAATAAACCAAACAAATTTGAGGTGACGATGTTAAAGGCTATGTGGACTGAGCGCCCAAATCACACAATGAAATTAGGAAGGCGAGCAATCCGCAGACTTTGGTCTTCTCTTGGCTATTCCTGTCCATCAACAACCTTTCACCGCCATGACTGATAACTGCCCTCGCCCTCGCGCGACTTTGTTTTTGTGACAGACCAGCAGACGACTGTAGCAGGCATTTGTTTCTAGTTTCAAGTGAGTGGGAAGACACAAGGTTCTTCGGGAAAAATGAATGGAAACATAGGTAAATTTAAGGTTTAGCGCTCCCAATCTAGTACTATATTGGTCAAAAGCGTTCGATTTTACGGTTAACATTACGCCTTATCTGTCTCAGTTGTCTTACTTGTATTATTATCTAACTAAAGATGCATTCCACATTATGAATAGGTTATGCTTTCTTGAGCACATACAACCCAATAAACTCTGCAGTATTACCATGATTTTCTGTGTGATTTTTTAATACATATTTTGTTTATCTTCATATTTTCTGTCACTGACTATGTTTCTTTGTCTTGCTTGCACAGGCTATAGAGTGAGAAAACGTTATGTCTGATGTATTTTTTTCCAGGACGTTTAATTTGTTGGCTACCTGGTGCACTGAGCATTACTTCCCGTTCAGTACAAAAATTACCCCTTCATTTTTGGGGTCCTAGTCCTGCTTTAACTGTGGTAGCTGTAAGGAACTATGCAGCTCGTAAAGGAACACGAGAAAGAAAGAGAAAGGTGGCACTGGCCAACAAGGCAGCAAAGAAGAATAAGGAACCAGTGGTTCCTCCTCATGTTAAGAAATTGATGCTGTATGATTACCCGTTTCATTTTTTACCCTGTAGAGCAATCTTTGTATCTTATTCTCATGTCAACTGTGTTACTTTCTAGGGCAAAGATGAAAAACCTACAGAACACTTCATTGTTTCCTGACGATTCTGCGTTTGGTGAAAGTCCTGACAATGTATATTTGCGTAATACTCATAAACACAAAATCTATGATCTAAAATCAGCTATAGTTAATTTTCAAGAGGTCCATCATCCAACAATGTTTAATAACCCAACAGCATTGATTAATGCTTATCTTGAACTTGACTTATCCACAAAGAAGAAGGTAAATAATTTGTTGTCTTCCTCTCTCTGTCTCTCCTTATATTTATCAATCCTCAATACACTTACAAAAAAAACCTGTCTGTTTTTTTTTGTTTTTTTTTAGACACAGTTTTTGGAAGACGTTAGTGGAGTTGTTGAATTGCCACACTTCTTTGAAGCTGGCAAACCAATTAAGACTGTGTGTGTGTTTTGTAAAGAAAAAAATTTATGTGAGGAAGCAATTGCAGCTGGAGCTAATGCTGCTGTTGGATTAGAAGGAATTAAAATGTTTCAGGTTTGAGATGTGTTTCTTACTATAGGTATGTTAGTTTATTGGTGAAGGGTTGTAATGCTTTCCTCTGTTTTTAAGGATGGTGCTCTTGATGCTGAGGATTATGACGTCGTTGTGGCACACCCGGATATTTTACCTGAGCTGGCACCTATTCGAGGACTTATATCAAAAAAATTCCCGAACATAAAGAAAGGTATTAGTAATAACTGTACCCTAATTGTTTTTTTAAAACTTACATGTATTTTTTTTCATTGCAAATACTGTATTTGTTTTTGTTAAAGGTACTGTGGCATTTGACGTAGCAATGCTGGTTAGAAAGTTCAAGTCTGGTGTGGATTACGTAATGAGCGCAAATGCTGCTAATCCAAAGCTTGGAATAATGCAGGTTCCTATTGGGCTAGTAAGTGCAAATATTACTTTTCTTCTAAGTGCCTCATTTGGGGAGAAAAAAGAAGTTTTATTCATAAAATTCTTGTGATATTTAGGTTAATATGTCAGCTGATCACATGGTAAAAAATTACCAGCAAGTAGTAGAGGCAGTTTTAACACATAAACCACCAAATGTATCCAATGAATTCATCACATTGTAAGTTGCATTTCAGTTCTGAAGTTTCAAATGTAGCTTGAAATGTATGTACTCTATCTGACTGTAACATTTTGGTTTTGCTTAAAGGGCTGGTGTTTCAAGTCAATACTCCACTGAGAGGTTTAAAGTAGATATTTCACACCTTTTGGAAGCAAAGGAAGACTTGGAAGAGGAAGTCAAAATTAAAAAAGAGAAGGTTGCCTCAGCCTAAATTCATTTGACATGGATTGTTTTTGTTACAGCTCATAATAAGAAATAAAATAGTCTTGTTCTCACTATTTTTGTTATCATGTATTCTTTTCCTCTCAGCAAATTAAAAAATCCATATAATTCGATGTTTAACTCAATTAAATGGGTTTGGTAATTAGCACAGCTACTCTTTGAAAATAATTCAGAAAATTTATTTATATGTTCATAAATGAAGCAATACAATCAACCAATAGCCACAACTGTTGCAGCTGTTTGGAAGGAGACTTCTTACTCCAGTAAGAATACTGGGTTTAGACCGTCATTATTTGTAAGAGGTAGAGATTGGTTTAAATTTACTGACTGCTTCTAGTTAAACAACAGCACAATTAGTTTTTAATGTGTCACTCTTATATTTATTCAGTTTTGTTTAGCACATGTCTGAATCAGTCTCTTCAAACACAAAGTATTGCTCAATTGTTTTACACAATGAAACTTAATATCATTTCCAGATGAGGAACATTAGGAGTTTAAATGTTGGCAAGAGAGCATAGTTTGAAGATGCCCTTTCAATAACGAGGACAAACTGGTTTTAAGAGGATAAACAAACAATAAGAATTAAGACAAGAGGTAACAAGAAAACAAAGATTTGGGAATAATGCCTCTGTTTCACGATTTATTAATGGTTGAAATTTTCCTGAGAAGAATGCACAGGACTCTAACATAGACTTGTTAAAATCCCGCACAAAGTACTGTACATAAATGATAAAAAGTAGATAGCATATATTCAGTGTCGTTGGATTTGATGTATCAAATAAACAAAACCAATGGAGCTGAATTTTATTTGGGAGACAACCAAATTTCCTGGTACTAAATTGCTAACTAATTGACTCTTTCATTGTGTGTTTTGACACATGAAAAACAAAATCATTTTTTCTATTATTGTAAGTACAGTATACCTGCAAGGAATGCAATTTCATTGGTTTCCAACAACATAATTTCATCTAAAGCAGCCTTTGAGACGGTTTGGCATGGGATGAGTAAACTGTTATTTTCATACATTGGGATCATCACAAAACTTAAGCACATATGTTGGGAAAATTCTTAATCTTGAAACAAGACTGTAACAATGCATCTCATTTTGAAGAGGAAATAGTTTTGCAGCTAAGAAATGGATTTGATGATGTGGTTGACACATAAACATACCCTTTACAATGTGATTAAAAGACAAAGAAAATATATGGACTTTTTGGAAAACAAATCTGAATACTGTAAACCTTAAGTTAATAATCCCTTTGGTTTGTTGCTCACAACATTAACAGTGAAACATAGGTATGTACTTATATAGTAAAACCCACTTATATCGGACCTGCACGTAATAGATTTTTCGCCAGCCCCTTGCTTACGATTTTAAAATGAATTGCCACCTATTTGACGGATTTACTCTTATGACGAATTTTCGCGACAGTCCCCTAAAATCCGCTATATGTGGGTTTCACTGCCGGGCTTTACCAAGTCTATTTGGAGTGGAGTTAACTGTTGCAAGAAGAACCATGGGTTGGCCGAAAAGATATCAAAACTTCAACAATATAACATCACATATGCTCTTTTTGTGCTACAATTTTCAAACTACAGTATAATTATACTCACTTGATTGAAATCCCCTTACAATTCCAATCACATATCATAATAATGTACAGTTTTATCCACATTTTCCATTCTAATCCATAATATATATCAAAAATCTCACTATACATAATTTAATTAACAATCCAT